CTCTCACTGTTGGAGGATAGATTTTCAGCCCAGTGAATATTGCCCTCTCCATAGAGGAGGGTCGCAGGAATGACGAGAGCCTGCAGAGCCCAGGCAAAGGCTCTGATGTAGAAAGCCTCAGTCTTCTGTTCAAAGTCCTAGTCAAATAGGATTCTGGGAAGTTACCCAAAAACAAAATCCCCAAACAGCAACAAAACCAAACAAACAACTATTGTCTGCTGTGAAGGTTTTCAGCTTTAGATATCTATGAACATCTCTACGAACATCTCTATTTCATCAGATGTGACCAAATTAAGATGGTGAGACCTCTGATACTCTCCACCTCCCGGGGCTCAGGGCACTGTGCATGTTAAACCCAGCTCTGAGACCAGACTTCTCTCATCTCTATCCCCTTCCTGACTGCTCACAAAATGCCATGTGCCCCTTAGTGGTGAGGTGACTACTCAGTGCTCTTCTGCTAGGGTGGAGATGGGGAGGGAGAGAGGGAGAGAGAGAGAGAGAATTGTGTTTGTGCCCTGATTATCTATGAAATTTATCTCATTGATCCTTCTGAAGCTGCTTTCTCTAAAGGGCCATCTCCGTGTCCTGTCAGTCAGTCAGTGCTAGGGAAGCCTTGAGAAGCTTTATGTAAAAAACTTGAAATTTTTTCTTATTTTGAAATTTTGCTTCTATGGATTGGTTACCTTTGCTACACTGTTGACTGTGAGAATTCTGCAGCCTGCAGGTGGTCACTGTGCTGATCCTTCAGAGTGACTTACCCAATTGCCACATTCAAGTGGCTTCTCCGAGGTCTGTGGCAGACACACCCTGCAACTTTTGCTGACTTACTTGTATTCTCCTGTGTGGTGTTGCTGGGGCCACTTAGAAGAAAGAGAACTCCACAGTGCAGCTGAATTTTGCTTGGTGTCTTTTTGAAATAAAGATCTAGTCCCTCCATCCCTGATGTCTGTGGGTGGGATGGGGGTCAGAAAAATAGTGAATTAGAGACTAACGACATTTCCTATCTGTGGCAAGCTGGCCACTCACTTACCGCCTTTAAGAGTGTCCGTTACTTTTCTTGTGGCTGCAATGAAATACTTGACAGAAGCAATTTAAATGGGGGAGGGTTTGTTTCTCTTACCACTCTTCGTTATATAATAATGTCATATGACTGACATACTAACATGTAAGTTGATATGCTAAGAGTCACCTCTGCCCAGATAGAAGGGTTGTGATGATTCTGCAGACTGTAAAGATGGAGCCAATGGCTTTTCCTGATAGTGTTTGTTAAGCATCCCCTGTGTCTGATGCCCCAGTGAGTAATGGAGTGACCAGCAGTAACTTTAGTGTCCCACCCTTGAGGTCCTTACGATTTACTTGAGCTTCAGCATGCTCACTCTTCTCTCTGTTAGATTTTTTTCCCTCCTGTCATGTTGTGCTTAATTTGGAAAGATACCTTAGAGTGTCTTATTAACCTAAGAGGGATTCACTTCAGTTTTCCCCTTTTTCTTTTTGAGATGGGGTCCTCCACAGGCGTGTCATCCCACCCTGCAGTATTGCTCCATTTATTTTTATTTCTTTTATGAAACATACATTATCTTATATAAAATCTGATAAGTCAGTTGAAATATTTATGTTAAAAAGCAAAAGATGTTTACTGTTGAAATTCTGTTCTATAGGCAGTTGCCAGTGGGCTTTGAATGGCTCTCCTTTGAACCTTTTTTTTTTTTTAAAAGAATGATAGTGACTTTGAAGTTTCTATCTCCCCATCACTTGCTTTGCCCTTGGTCTCCACTGGGATGGAACAGAAATGGCTGACTATTCAAGAGGAAAGTCACTGTCATTTGTGGGACACTAGAATGGGAGACCATAAATGAAGCGTGTTAATTTGGAAACTGCCATGCAACAGAAGAGAGATCTCCCTTGTAGGAAAGGGGACTGGGTCATCAGCTTTGGATCCATTCCTGTGTCAATTGCAAGCTGACCACTTCCATGCCGCTTTTAAATCTTAGGTGTTTGTCTTGTTTCCACAATGAAATGCTTGATAAGAGCAACAGAGAGGGAGGGAGGGAGGGAGGGAGAGAAGGAAGGAGGGAGGGGGAGGGGTGGAGGGTGGATTTATTTTAGGTCATAGTGTGACTGGACTCAGTCCATCAGGGCAACTGGCAGGTTTCTAATCAGGAACTGAAGACAGCTGGTTACATTCCAGTCAGGAAGAGAGAGCAACATGTGTGCCCAGAGTTCATTTTCCCATTTTTATTGAGTCTAAGACCCCAGCCGGTGGAATGGTATCAGCCACATTTAGGGCATATCATCCTACAGCAGCTAGTCTAGTCTACATAATCCCTCACAGACAAGCCAGAGATTTGTTTCCATGGTGATTTTAAATCTGACCAAGCTAACAATTAGGACTAACCATTATACCTTGGAATTTTAACTCTTGCACATTTTCTTGAGTTTACAAACAGAGTTGTTGGTCGTTTTTGCCAAGTGTAATAACATTCACTCTTTTTTTCTTATTATTCTTTGGTTCCCTAGGTCATTCATGTTGTTTTTATTGTAGCATACAATCTACCTTTATTTAACAAAAGTATCTTGTGTGATTATTAGTCAAATTATAGTAACAAATTATACTTTAGAAATGATATTTTATAGTCCCTTGGTTATAAATCACTGTTTATTAAAGTACTATATGGTTATTTATCTTATGATCATAAGGTTAAAAACATTGATTGAATTCAGGCATAATTGCAGTCCAATACTGGGGATAGGTAAGTCCTGCTTATGATATAACCATGTACTTTCTTCGTGTCATTAACGATGCCAACACTTTGCTAGGACACCCAAGTTTCATTTTCTCTATCTCACCCAGGATCCTCATATTGCTTCTCTGCTTGTTGCAAATTGTAGCAGGGTCCCCTTCTTCTGCCTCTTTGATGGTAACTGGGTTTATTGCTGCTCACTTATTAGTGCCCTGGGTTTTAACAAGCTTGCTCAAACAAAACATCTTAAATGGAGGCATTAAACAGGTCACAACAGTGGCCCATTTTGTAACTTTTGTTGTAATAAAATGGATATGTTGTGTTTTGGAATAGAAGGCTTTTGTGTATAGCTATTCATTTTCTTCATATATAAAGCATTCTAGAATTAGATTATACTGTTTGGGGTATAAGATTCCATGTTTTGAAGAAACATCAGTGTTGTTTGACTTCAAACCAGACATGGGAAAAGGAGGCTGCTCTCTAGTAGGCCATGTTCTGCCCAAGTTAGGAGCAGCGTGGAGCTGTCTGCATCCTTCAAATGTGTGACACATTTCCAGAGTGGTTTCCTCTGACTGGAAATGACAGCCATCATCCTACACAGTTTGACTTACATTTGAGAAGTTTTCACACATCAGGAGTTTATCTTACGAGGGATCTTTCAGAGCAAAAGCCCAGAGTAAAATTACATATGCAAGCATGTACAGCATGTTTAATTGCTTTAGTCTGTACGTTAACCTTGTAGGGAATGAAGCTGGAGTTTACTGTGGGCTTTCTTTTTTAAGCAAATGCCCCAGTGAATAGATGATCAGGACCGTTCCATTGTATGCTGTGTAAGTTGCAGTAGAGGCAAATGGGCAAAATATTTATCTATAGAATGAAAATTGAATAGTCTTAAAAGCCAAATAAGTTCTGGTAATATTCAGTACAGTCCTATAAGCTATTTTAGTAAAAAAAAATGAGTAATTCTAGCAATGATTTTTACAATAACTTAAGCCTTTTAAATTTGTAGGTGAGACATCTAACATTGTTATAGAATGTAATGTTTTCACATTTAGGAAGGAGAAATTCAAGGAAGAAAATTAAAATTAGTAGATTCTTAAGTACTGCCTGTTAGTCCTCTTGAGATGTCTCACCACTCAGTATACTTTCTTAGGACTTTGGAAGAGATTTAAGAGCCAGTTTTACAGCCAGGGTTTTGGTTTTGATATGTGATTTCATTGAAAATATAGCTCTTGAGTTTCAGGATGGGCAATGTTCAATTTGTTTTGAGAATCAAGACACTAAACTTAATGTCTTGTGAGACTGTGACACCTAGGGAGTGTGACTGCTTACTTATGGCATGGACAGGCTTCTCTGAGATTTTCATTTGTCAGATTAATCCAAATAGTGACATTGACACAGGAACATGTGCACGCGCATGCGCACACACATGCATGCACACGCACTTGTGATACCATTTTCTTTCTGAGTAGGACAGATTCTTTCTGTGACCACTGTCATTCCTACTCGGAGGCACTATCTGCTTTAGACACATGATGATAGACTGAGTTTCTGACTAAGTATAGCAATAACTTCCTGTATTGAGTTCATGTGATTATAAATAGTTATTACATGCCTATTAATTCCTCCAAAAGGTGTGGGGATGCACACTAGTCGACACTGCTGGCAGTTAACATGGGCACGGTCTAGATGATCTACACTGTCCTCCTCTGCTGTCCTCCCCCCTGCTGTCCTCCCCTGCTGTCCTCTCCTGCAGTCCTCCCCCTGCTGTCCTCCCCCTGGCACTTTTCTTACTCTGCTGTTTTACTTTCCTCCCTGTCTTTCTTCATATTGTCTCCATCTTCCACCTCTTTCCCTCTTCTCCCCCTCCCTTCCTCCCCTGCTCAGTTGCTCTTCTGAACCTCACATTGCCTGCTGGAGACACAGCCAGTTCTCACACACAGCCTGGTTGGGTCTTCCTGTTGCTGTAGGAGATGTGTGGTGTATCCTTTCTGTGTCAGCCTTGTCCCTGCTTTTCTCTTCAGTTCACAGGGGTCACAATGTCCTTTATGTTCATTGAACTTGAAATAGAAAAGGATCTATGGCCACAGGTTTTTTGTTTTGTTTTTAGACATGTACTATACCTGTGCATTTGCTTAATACTGGCCATATTACAGCTATGAAATAAAAAGAAGCACTGTAATAACTGGATTTTTACGATATCCAGGTCAACCACTGATACAGTTTTACCTAATTTGCATGATTTTTCTCTCTCTCCAGATTCCTTTCTCATTGGTCCAGTTTCCCTTGTGGGAATCCTTGAAAGTAAGTTTTCAATCATCATTTGAAGTTTTTTCCTATTGCCAACAGTATAGGTATGCAATGGAAAAAGATAATAGTAAGTAGAAGTTTAAAAACTCCAAATTACCAGCAGCCAAAAGTATTTTCCCATGTGACTTGTCAGCTATTTCATGCATTGTTGAGATATGAGGGCTGTCACATGCTGCAGGCGGAACTGAAGCCCACAGGTTCAGAAATACCTTATTTCACTTTCCCCTGGACGGCCCTTCCTTCTGCACTGAGTTGAAGGGAGTGTGTGAGCATGGAGTTCAGTCCTTAAAATCGACATAGAAAGCCAGATATGGTAGTGTGTATCTATAACCACAGTGCACCTATTCTGAGGGGAGACAGCAGTGATAGGCTGGAAGCTTGTGGGCCAGCCAGCAAGGAGTATGGTGAAGAAAGTGCCTCAACAGGGTAGGAAGCAAGGATCAGTACCAAAGTTGTCCTCTGATCTCCACACCTAGGCTGGGGGTGTATGTGCATGCTTACACATGTGCGCTCATGTGTGCACGCGCGCGCACACACACACACACACACAGGGGGGGGGGGAGATTGGTTGATTAAATTACTTAAACATGCATAGACATTGTATTTGTTTTTCATCATTAGGGCAGTGATAATGGTGTGAATTATGTGGGTCTTTGCCAGCATTGTAAAGAACTTAATAAAAAGAATACTACATGGTACAGGTCAGCATCATCATGTACAACTTCAGTGTTGTACTATGCACATATACATAGAGAGCTGTACTAACTTGTAATGTAGACCTAGTAAGACATGTTTCTTAGTAGGATAATAGTCAAGAAAGATTAAAAGTAGTTGTTCAAGTGAGAAGGGTTTATAAATAACCAAGCAGGAAAATGGCAAAGAATCAAGGTGCAAATTGGGACTGGGACAGCTCAGCAGTCCAGTACTGGCCTAGCATGCTTAAATCCCTAAACTCAATCCCTGTCCTAAAGGAACAAACAAAACCCAAGATGATGCCACCATAATTTTATACAGTTCCTATGCATGGCATACCTATAGTAAACCCTCTTAAAAAAAATCTTAAGAGTTAGTTTGGACTCCTAAATAAATCTTACTACAATTGCATACCGAGAATAATAAACAAATTCAAAACATTGTCCTTTTAAAAAGTAAACTGGGGGCTTGGAGCCAGCAAAATTGCTCAGAAGGCACAGGCACTTATCTTCATGCCTCATGGTAAGTTCTAGCTCTATGAACCACATAGTAGAAAGAGAACCAACTCCTAAAAATTGTCTTCTGACCTCCGATCTCATGCCTTCGCATGCATTTGTGTCTTCCCCTTCCATGTATGCACGCGTGAGCACTCGTGTGCACGCACACACATACATACACATACACACTCGTATTTTTTTATTTAAAGTAAGCTAGAACATTCAAAATTTCTTACATGTGATCTGATTTTTAAAACTAGTACCACTTATTTACTGGAGTTTTGGGGGTCTTTTATTGTGTGTTTCACCATTTCCTCCTTGGCACAGGGTAAAAAACAGATTCCTTGGCCAGTGTTTCAAGGCGTGATGTAACAGCTATCCAGTAAGAAGGTCACATTCCCTTAGCATACCAGTTTCCATTTTTAGCATGTGACAAAAGAACAATGTAGCCAACAGCTGTCCAGCAAACAAGAGTCCCTATATAACTGCCTCAATAACCAGCATTCACACAGATGCTACACATTCTAACGTCCCTGGCTCTCAAAGTCCATAGAGGAATGTTCGGAGGTTCAAAGAGGGAAGAAGCATGGGTTGGTTCATTTCTTTCCAAGCTTTTAAGTGCATTTGTAGAATTCTAACTAGTTAAGAAATCAATGTGGATTTTTGTGATAGTCAGATAATAGTACTGTGCTTGAAGTTTTTGTTTTAATTTTCTGTGTTGCCTTCATGTGTGTCTCTGCACTACATGTGTGCCTGCTGCCTTTGGAGCTCAGAAGAGGGCATTGGCCCCCTGAACTGTAGTTCCGAATGGTTGTGAGCATCCATATGGGTGCTGGGAATTGAACTCAAGTCCTCTGAAAGAGTAGCCAGTGCTCCTGACTGCTTGAGTTATCTCTCCAGCCCAGTTAAAAACTGTGTGAAGTGCTTTGTATTTTTGAGTTCCTCAAGGAATACTATGCATACAGCAAATGTACCCTTAAAAGCATATCTGAGGGCCAGAAGGTGGTGGCGAATGCCTTTAAACCCAGACTCGGGAGGCAGAGGCAGGTGGATCTCTGTGAGTTCATGGCTAACCTGGTCTATAGAGTGAGTTCCAGGACAGCCTCCAAAGCTACACAGAGAAACCCTGTCTCAAACAAAACAAAACAAAGATACATGAGTTCTGACAGTGTTTCAGTTCAGTTCACTCTTGCCACTTTATCACGAGTGCCATTTCTACCCCAAGTCCCCAGTGGTCACTGCTTTTCAGTGTCACATAAGCAGGTAGAATGTGCCATGCAATATTTCATGCCCTGCTCTCTTCTCTGCAATGCTGTTGGGTCTTCTATTGCTTCATGAACAGGTACTGATTGTTTTTTGTCTCTGTGTGGCTCCATTCAATAGTGATATACATTTAAGCTTTTCCCAGGTTTCAGTTGTTATTCACTGAACTTCTGAAAACATCTGTAGCAAGCTATTTGGACTGCCAGACCCTAGTTGTGATATACAGAGACTTATTAAATATGAAAGCTCAGCCTTAGCTTAGGCTTGTTTCTAACTAGGTCTTATAACTTAACCCAGTCTACTAATCTATGTGCTGTCATGTGACTTTTACATCTCCTCCTTCATGTCCTGCTTCCTCTATGTCTGGCTAGCAACTCTGCCTTTCTTTCCAGTGTGCTCTCTGTTCAACAGTCCTTGCTATATCTCCAGCCTAGTTACTGGCTGTTTAGGTTTTTATTAAACCAATCACACTGACATATCCTTGTACAGTATAATCAAATATCTCACAACATTTCCCCCTTTTTGACTAAATAAAAAGGAAAAGTTTTAACTCTAACACAATATAGCTAAAAATAATAAGAACAATTATCAGGTAAGAATTACATTCACAATGTCCAGTTCATTTGTATTTGACAACTTCAGAGAAAACTTGATGAGTCTCAAGTTTTGTACCTAATTTACTTTCTGTCATCAGTAAGGGAAACGCTAAGTATGGCTTTGTTGTCTTCAACACCATCAAAGACCCGAGAAGGATATACTATTACCTAAATAAACAGGAAGTGCAGAACATTCAACTTTTAAAACTATGAGAAGTAGCAGAAACAGCTGGCTACATGAACAGTCACCCAAGGTTCCTCTATAATGTTAGGGTATCCATCTTTGGCCTATGGGCCTAGACTATCTGATAGACTTTTATGTGAAGCAGTAATTTTTGAAGGACTGTCCTACCCTGTCTTCACAAAGTTTGGCAGTTGCTTTCTTTTGTGTCTTGTTTGTCCAGTTTGGGTAGCGTACTGTCAGCCGTAGAGGCAAGGGAAGTTTCTTGCCCAAGTGACTAGCTTTTACCACAAAGAAAGCAAACTCCATATGGAGATTTTTTTGATGCCCTTCATCCCTTTTTTGGAAGTTAATTGGTACTGCCAGGAGCAGATGTATTTCACTGTCATGAAAAGCTTTATGTTATTAAAACATTTAAAATGTCATATTCTGAAGGTCTTTGAAATGTTTGAAGATCACCTATCTAAAATATATCTTTGTATGACCTTGAAAATATATGTAACATGACTATAAGTTTGATTGTTATTGATGACTATTAACCTATATTTCTTTCTTATCCTAAATAGCTTTCAAGGACTATAACTTTACATTTTGTAAATGAACTGTATAGGTATAATACCTTAAACAGGAATAGAAATATATATACACTATAATAAAAATAACCTTAAATTTGTACCAATATACAAAAATCCATACCAATGTAAAATATTTGAGATTAATGTTTGTTCAAATATAGACTCAACAATACACCCTTTTATCCCATCATTTCTATACTTTATCTTCCTTTTCCCTTCAGAAAGAGATCCCTGAATCTAATATCCTTTATTTAGCTTTCTGTCTGACCATGACCAGTAATAACTTGTAACCAATCCCCTAAATGATGACAAACATCTATAACCCATAGAACAACCAAAAACCATTCACCCCAACTTTTGGGAATGTGGATATCGTGTTTTCTAGATTGTTTCCTGCTGTCTGGGAGCAATGACATCTTTAAGAGACCCTGAAAATATTAGGATAATATTCAAGTCCTGAGAAAGCTAGCCATAACATTTGTTGTCCAATTTGTGTGCAATGGTAAAGCTCAAAGCGTATCTGTAGTCCCAGCTAAAATAGTCTGTGAGGCTGGACCATCTCATCCAGGAGCCTTGAAGCTGTTCTGGGATGCAGAACTCTGAAGAAACTGCAACAGAGGCACTCTGAGAGGCTGGATCACCTTGCTCACCTGTTTTTGTTGGTGTCTGGTTCCCTTGTTCTGAAAACACGCAAGCTTCCAAAGGTAACATACATATATACATTAACATAAAAATGGACTGTGTTGTACACCAGCCAGCCAAAGATTTTTTGTTTTATGTTTGAGCAGATATACCACCTGTCATGTAGTTTTCTAGGTTTATTTCTTTATGTCTGTAGTCAAGATTTTCAGGAGATTTCCTCAGATCAAACCTGATTCTCTTTACCCTTGAATGAATCTACAGCCTTTCATTTCCTGTAGAAACAAAAGCATAACCTCTTCCCCAATGAAATACACCTTTTGAATTCTGTTTTAAAGTTAAGGCATTTGTAAAGTATCTAGGCTGATTTAATTTGGCGGTTCCTCCTACAATCCCATGTCTCTTAGCAGTTTTCATTTACTCATCAGCAATCAAAGATTTAAAGTCAACACGACACCATATAGGATACAGACTCCCTGTGTGCACTTTTCATCTTTATGTGTCTTATTCTTTTTATATTTTATTCTGTCTTTAAAGACTTCAGCTTATTACTTATAAACTATTTTTATGACTAAACCCCATTTCCTTTTTTCAAGCCTATGTACATTTTTTTTTACGCATATAACCTGTTTAGAGGTTTCTTCCATCTGGATCTGCCTTTGCTAATCACCTTTCTCTGACCATGAGACAAATCTTAAACTTCCATGTCAGCCACCACGTGGCTTAGCTTAGTGCATGGTGCTGGTGCATGGCACAGGCAGATGGCTCTAGCCCACAGGCAGAAGCTGGTGACAATGTCTCTGTCTACCTGAGACACCAAGGTCACCAGGAAGCCATGTTTGACTTCGTGTTCCAATTTTTTTAAAAGCTTTCTCAGGCATTATGTGGATACATGTGGCCGATATTGGGTGTCATGTGTAAACAGATTTTTTGGGGGCCCCTGGCTCACATAAAATGATACAGAGACTTAGTTATGAAAGCTCAGTCTATAAATTAGGCTTGTCCCATTCGCTCTTATACCTGCTATTTCTCTTCATCTGCATGCTGTCGTGTGGCTCAGGCTTTCATCTTCCCTCCTTCATGTCCTTCCTCTACCTCCTACTTGTGACCTCACCTTTCTTCTTCCCAGAGCTCTCTCTGTCCAGAAGTCCCAGCTATACCTCCTACCTAGCTATTGGCTATTTAGTTTTTTATTAAACCAATCACAGTGACATATCTTTATACAGTATAATCAAATATCTCACAACGTGTGTGTGTGTGTGTGTTTGTGTGTGTGTGTGTGTTGTGTGTTGTGTGTGTAGTATTTGTATGGACATATCCTCCCCCCCAAAGCTGCGCAGGAGTGGTGACCCTGGGCTAGAAGGAAGGTACATGCTTAATTGTATAAGAATTCATAAGAGTGTTTTCCAGTGCATTCTGCATTCTCAGAAGCATGTGTGAGCAATTCGTGTTCTGTGTCCTTGCTATTATATGTTAGTTACAGCCATTCTAATAGTTGTAGATCAGTGTCTCATTATAGTTTTGATTTGCATTTCTCTCAAAGTTAAATAATGGTTAAAGATGTTGTGCATCTTTTCAAATATTCTGTTTTTTGGTTTTTTTTTTTACATCTATATGTGAGATCACAGGGTCTTTGTAGAAGCAGAAGCCTTGGAACACTTATTTTTGTGTTTATGGTTTTATCCACTTAAGTTGCTTTTGTAGTCATGCAGTGAGATTGTGTTATATGGGGGAATTTCTCTGTTGTGTTCATGTGGAGATGTGACATAGGAAACTTTCTCAACCAGGACCCTAGTAGCATATAATATGTAGTAAGCAATGAGTATCTGGGGGTGATGGGTAAAACAGCACTATTCTCAATGTTCTTTGTCCACGTTACAGTGGCCACCTTTCTTCTAAAGTGACTCCCACTTCTGTCCTCCACTTCTGTTAACCATAGCTGCTTCTATCCACCCAGTCTCCAGACCCATTACAAAGCATGACTATTCTGTTTCTCTTTGCAGTCACATTATTTACCCTGTCTTATTGACTGACTTTAAAAAATATTTATATTTTATATATGAGTACTCTGCATATATACCTACATGCCAGAAGAGGACATCAGATCCTATTGTAGTTGGTTGTGGGCCACCATATGGTTGGTGGGAATTGAACTCAGGACCACTGAAAAAGTAGTCAGTGCTCTTAACTGCTGTGTCATCTCTCCAACACCTTTATTAACGGACTTTTTAAGCCTGTAAATGTTGACTGTAATACATTTTGCTACCTTATGTCTGGCCCAAGTCCTAACAAATAACTCTAACTTACCATCTACCTACATAGTATGTGAGTGTGACTGAGTGAGTGTGTGTGTTTGTAGTTTGTGTGTAAGTGTTATGACTATGTGGAGTGTGTGAGTGCATATGTGATGTGTGTGGTGTGTATTTGTGGTGTGTGTGTGTGTATGGTGTGTGAATATTTTTGGTGTGTGTGAATATGTGTATGGTGTAGGAGTATGTATGTGGTATATAATGTGCAGGGTGTGTGTATGTGTGCTTACGTGTATGTGGGTCAGCATGTATTTGAATACACATGCACATGTGTGTTCTTGCATATGGAGGCCCAAAGCTGACATTGGCTTTTTTTCTCAGTTACTCTCCACTTTACATATTGAAGCAGGTTGCTTATTAACCTGGAACTTGCTAATTCTGGCTATCTAACTAGCCAGCTTGCCTCGAGATCCCTGTCTCTGTCTCCCATGTGCTAGGATTATAAGTGGCCACCTTCCTTGCCAAGCTTCCATGTGGGTTATGGATAATCTGAAGTCTGGTTCCCAGGCTTATGTGCCAGATGTCTTCATAGCTCTCAACCTTTTTGAAGTGGCATCTGTGTCCTTAAAACTTAGGACTTTGTAAATGTGAGTTTGTTGGGCCTCACAGCTCTTCATGCCATGCCTCACAGTGGTTTCTCAAGCCCTTCCCCTTTTATTTCCTCTCCCAGAATCCCCTGACTGCCAGAATGTACTTTCATGGATCCAGATGGGCTGCATCTTTCAAAGTGTAGTCAGGCTTCAAAGTGTAGTCAGCTGTCGCTCTGGGCTGTGCAGACTCACCTTCCCCTCCCTGATGCTGTCTCCAGATGCTGTGTAATTGCTGTGTTGCATTGAAGATGTCTCAGAACCAAGCTGAGAGCATTCATATAGTGTAGTTTTCCTCCCCCAGCCACTTTGGTTTCCCCCCCGCCAGCTGCTTGGGCTCTGCCACAGTTGCAGTCCCCAAATAACACACAGGAGGCTATATTAATTATGAAGCTGATGGCCATTTGCTTGTTTTTTTACTGGCTATCTCTGACTTAAGTATTTAATCCCATAATTGTTAATCTAAGTATTTCTCTTATCAAAGAAAAGGTTCAGACCTGTTACTTCTATGGTGGCTACATGATGTCTGTCAGTGTCTCTTTCCCAGAATCCTCCTCAACTCCTAGTCCCACTTAATCTTGCTTCCCTATTGGCCAACAGTGCTTTATTGACATATGCACAGGACTTCCCCATCAAGATAGGGCCAAGGCCCTTCCACTGGCAGACAGATGGCACAGGCAGCCAGTGTGGTGCAGAGAGCCGGTGCATCTTCATGACCCCTGTCCTGGGCCAGACCTTATTCAGTTATAGGACTGCAGATGAGTGCAGTAGAACAGAGGTACAGAGCATACAGAGCACTGAAATGCTCAAGCCAATCGGGAGCCACTACCCTGTGTCCCCAAGGCCTAACACCATAATATATTGCTTCTTCAAAAATACCTTTTCAATGAGAACAGATAGTTCATCTTGAGAAGAACAATTGAAGGGATAGATTGTTGCATTGGGAACCTTAGAGAAGGATCTTTTCTTTTTGGTTTATGCATGCCTTGGGCCAAATTGTGGTGTACACTGTAATTCTAACCCTTAAGATGCTGAGGCAGGAGCATTGTGTGTGTGATGCCCCATTCTGGCTTCCACAGATGTCCACACATCTGTGGTGTCATGTACTCATATATTTTAAAATTCTCCTATGCTACATTTATTCTAGCTCTTTTCCTCCGTCTCGTGTCTAGTCATCATTGCTAGATAGACCACGTGTCACCCTAGTGAGATACTTCCCATCCACCCTCTTCAAGGTAGGACCTTTCATTACTCTGCCTCAGGAGTCATAACACCTGTGTATCCTCGCTGGCATTTCAAGAGCTTCTTCAGTTAGGCACATGCCATCCCTAAACACACTTATCAAAGACATCAGTTGTGGGACGAGCAGGTGCCATGGCAGGCCCTGGTTCCCATGGGAGGCTTACATTACATTAACATCTTATTCCTACCATGCTGAACTCAGAGCTGAGCCTTTCATTAGGCTTAGGTAGGAAAGCCAGGTATGCAGGAGACCTCTGTCATCAAGTCACTGAGGTTTAGATTTAGTGACTATACATATGCATAGCACTTAACTACTGTGCAATAGCACGAGTGTGACAGGTTCATTTGTCCTTACTTTGTAGCTGGGGAAGAGAGAAGGGAGAGAGACAAAGGGAGACAGAGAGAGCATGCCAGCCAACAAGCCTTACTCCCAATCACAGGAGTACTAAGGAGTATCATTGAGATTTGAACTTGTGTCTGACTCTAGCCCTTATGCCCTTCTGCACATGAGCTTGAGTGGTATGTCTTTACTGTGACTTTGCCTTTCATATGCCCCACAGTGAATAAGAGTTAGTCGTACTGTCTCTGCAATTCCTTGAAGTCAGTTCTACGGGACCAGTGGCTATAGGTAAAGGTCACCCCAGCGCCACCTTCTGTATGCATTTGTGTCACATTTCCTACAGCATACTGCTGTGAAGATGAGTGAATACTGTCGTTTGCCTGTTTAGGTTTATTTTCTATATGGTTCTGCCTTTTGCACTGGTGTTGATAGGTATTTGCTAATTATTGAAGGTTAGCATTCTTTCTTGATCAAGTGCCACACAGACTTGTATATACAACTGTGGTATTGGCTGCTTTATTTATAGGTTCCTTTGGAACTGTATTCATGGCCATAAAAATATGTTTTCTTTTCTAAACATATGGGTT